GCCTGCAAATGTTCAGTATATGTACTCGTAAGAGATATTTTTATCTAATATTAAATGGACGCACAGAACTTAGCGAATGCACAGCAACCTGGACAACCAAACCCAGAGAATATTCCAAATGAAGTTAGAATACAAACTGCAATGACAAACTATGGTCAAGTGCCAACAGATGTACAAATGCAAACTGCCATGTCAAATGACGCTGCGTTAGGTTTGCCACCATGGTATGCAAATATGAGATGGAAAGAGTTTTATACAAACCCTGAAGTGGGATATAAACAACTTTATGCAGATGACGCGAACACAGGAGTTGACCCAGAATATGTTTTCTACCAGAGGAGAAACAGAATGTATGAGCTCCAGTTAAAGAATGCTATGGAACTCAACAGGAAACGTAAGAGACTAGGCGGACATTAGATTTTTACATATAGTAAAATGGGTTTCTTCAGTAGTATTGGAAACTTCTTCAGAAGAGTTGGAAGAGGTATATGGAATGGAATAAAATCTGTCGGAAGAGGAGTATGGAACGGAGTCAAAAATATTGGTAAAAGAGTAGGTCAGTTTGTTGGTATTATACCTAAAGACCCTGAACCAGAAGAACAAGCTCCTGTTATACAACAGCCTGAACCTGCACCACAGTCTAGTTGGCAACCAAATCCAACACCTCAACCGTATTAAAAATTATATTTTTACCGTTCGATAGTAGTTGTATATGAAACTAAGTTCTAAGTAAAACGCATGGTATAATGGAATTATTCTTTTTCTTCCATCTGTAGTAAACCATACTTGAAAGTCTGAAATACTTCCACTCGGCGGTTCATATAACTTTGTAGGTTTTTCGTAAAAGTCATTTGCCAAGCATAAGAAAGAGTTTTGGGCGCCAGAAAATGAAGCATGAACAATAATAGCATCTTGGTCGAAAACATTTTCATATGTTCCATTAGGGTTTTCGACTTCATAAAAGTCTGGGTGTACTGGATATGCTGCAGGCTGATTTAACATCCTCATAAATCTATACCATGCCAAGTTGTTATATTTTGTAGAAATATAAACGTTTTCTCCAAGGTCTTCTATTTTATTGATTTTAACAGTTGCATTTTCCTGTCATAAATAATATCGAGATGGTATTCTCCTTCGTCAATGTTATACTGGTTTGCATATTCGATATAGATGTCGTTTATTTTTTCTTGAAAAGCTTGAAGAGTTGTTTCTAAGTTTACAAGCAAACTAACTTGTAAAAGTTTTCCCTGTTCAAATTTCTCATACGTATGTTTTTCTTTGTTATAGTATCGAACTTCAAAACCGACCGTAAATGGGAAACCATGTATGGCTTCTGAAATGAACTTCATTCTACGAAAGCCAATAGCTTTTGTGACAGATGGGTCTCTTAGCCATCTTAATGGGTAGTCAAAACGATAGCCTTCATGCTTTACGGTCTCTGTCTCAAACTTTTGACCGACATTAGTAAAAAGTTCATCTAATGGTTTAGTTGTAGCAACTCTTGAATTTTCTTTTTCTATTGGAAGCATATTTTATCTAGAATAAAAATGTCGAAAGATATTGCTTCCATGAGAGAAATACAACACAACCGACAACTCATTATGCAAGCTCTAAATAAGAACACAACAAACTTTTCAAACTATTCTAAGATATCTGAGTCATTGAAAGAAGGAAACTTAAAACTGACATTAAACCCAATGACAGATGAGTTTCTTTCAAGACAATAAGAACCATACTGTCTGTATAAATCCAACAAAAGGAACTTTAAACGAGAAACCTATAAATGAACTTCTTTTGAAGGCAGATGTTGACAACAAAGCTGACAAAGAATATGTAGACGATGCAATAGCAAAAGAAGAAGAAAGAGCTAACAATGCTTATGCAACAAAGAACATACTCATCCTGAACTAGCAGACAAAACATATGTTGACAATAAAATGTCAAGTGAAGTGACAAGAGCTGAAAACGAATATTCTAAAAAGACTCATATACATACCATTGCAAATATTACAAACTTACAAGAAACCTTAAACAGGAAAAGTGACGTTGGACATACACATTCTATATCTGAAATAACAGACTTAAACGTTAGCCTTGAAAATAAAGCAGACAAGAACCATACACATACAAGTTTTTACAAACTGTTGCTATAGAAAGTATTGAAGGAACGGTTGAGAAACTGGTGGGGATGTATTATATTATAAACCTCCTAACTTTCCACAAGGTTTAACATCGGATGACGACATAACGACGATGAGAACATTAGATGTAAAGATGTTTATGTCATGAAGGATGAACATAATATTAAATTCACTGCTCAAGATTTATATGACAAGAAAGCAGACAAAACAGAGCTTCAAACATTAAAGACAGAAATACTTCAAACATTATATCCTATAGGCTCTATTTATACGTCAATGAACTCAACAAATCCAGAAACAGTTCTGGGTTTTGGAACTTGGACTCAAATAGTCGACAGGTTTTTGTATTGTACAAACTCTTCAAAGGAAACAGGTGGAAGTAAAACGATTTCAGGTGAAATTTACCTGGCACACATTACGTAGATTAACTACATCTGAAGGTGGTTGGCATAAGCATAGATATTGGGATTGGAGGGAATGACAAAAGGTAAAGGATATGATGTTAAAGAGGACGTTAAGTTTGCTATAAATTGTTACTGGGATGACACGCAGGGAGAAGGAATCCATTCACATTTCGTTACAGGATATACACATACAACGGGACAAAGTAAAGAATACATGCCACCTTACATGACAGTTTACGCATGGTATAGAATTGCTTAGTCGTCATTTTCAACTTCTTTAGCATATTCGTCAGGAGTTGTCTTATATTTGTTAGGAACTGTCTTTGAAAGTATACCACCTTGAACTTTGACAAGTTTGAAACGAGGTCTGACAATAGTAGTTTTATCTTCTGCTTGCAGTGTGTACATTTTGCCATGTTTGCCTAAAACTTCATAATATTCTCTTGTATACTTTCTTCTATTTTTACGAACACGAATGTGAGTACCTGTCGAGTTCCCATTGTTGTCATAGTCAATAGTATTTTCATATGGGTCGCGTTTAGGTATTTCTATTTTTACTTTGTCACCTTTCTGAAGTTTGAAGCCCGGCATTCTTTCTTGTTTGTCTCTTTTGACTAAATTATTAAATATATAGTCTTTCTCTAAGTCAGGGTTGTTTTTCATTTCTTCGGGGGAGTGGTTTCCCAAACCTTTTTGTTTACGGTTATTGTAAATATTTAAAACTTGTCTCATCTTTGCCTGGGAAGTGTCTATACTTGTCGTCATATGACATTTCATTTGCTTCACCACCTTGTGGTTGGTTTAAGTCTCTTAATATTTTTATACAACCGTCAATGACACCAAGAGCAGAATGGTTTTGGTCGACAATGAAATATTGGTTTATATTTTTTGAACGCAGATAGTTTTTAATATCATCTGATTTGAAAGAACTTTCACAGTCAGATGTCAGTTTTGTTGGATGGTATTTGTCAACGAATATTGTCAAAGCAGTTTTCACATCTAAAATATTTTTGGACCATAATGGTATGGCTTCACAGTATCTTGTGTTTTGACCAACAAATATTAACCAGTATGGAGGTCCATCTTCTCTATACCTCGGAATGTTTTCCAAGATATCCATAAACCAAGCATTTGGTGTTGAACTAAAGATTTTTATCATGAGTGCTTTCTTTGTCGCTTTAGAAACATAGGGGTCCTTGTTTGGATTCGTCATTTTTTACCCTATAAGAAATGGGTTTATTTGGCGCATTAGCAGGAGTTGCATCCAGATTTTTGCCCGCAGTGGGAACAATAGCTAGAGGTGCATTTGGAATTGGAAAGAAGATTTTGAGTACATTAGGTATACTTAAAGAGAAAGCACAACCTATTATACAAACTGTACAGAAAGGTTGGGAGGTAGCACGAGATGCAACAAATCTTATTCCAAATCCTGAAACAAGAGGAAAAGTTCAAGGATGGATGGACAATGTAGGAAGACAAGCAGGAAACTATTATAACAAAGCAAATGACTACTATAACCAAGCAGGACACTATATGGACCAAGGTGAAAGATTCTTTAACAGAGGATATAACCATGCACAACAATGGGTAAACAATAACCAACCGCAACCGCCTCAAACGTGGGGAATGTAAAATTTTTTACTGAGATGAAATGAACAATACAGCATTGAGACAAATGGGTTCAAGATGGATTTGTCGACTTCCAGCAGTTACACCACGTGTTTGTCAAGTTCTTCCTATACCTCAGGAAGTTTTAGACCGACTTAAAAAACCTAAACAACCAGTTGAAAACAAACCAAACTAAAATTTTTTACGGACCTGAAAATGACCGAAGAAGTTGAAACGGTAGATTTGACACCACAAACAAAAAGTTCAGAACCATTGTCAAAACCTGTCAAAGAACTTACAGATGAAGAGAAAAATTCAATAATAGAAAGTGCCAGGTCTGGAAATACAAACCCTAACTATAAAGTCACTTTTCATAGAAATGGAACGGCTAGTATCTCAAAAAAGAAACAGACTCTCACAAATAAAATATTGAAGTCTGAAGGAGCTTTCGAGACAACAGATGGAAAAGTTTACTTCACTGACCAACAGTTCATTATAGAACATCTCATTGACTTAGAGTCGAAATATTCTAAACTTTACAACAAACACAAAAAGTTGAAAGGAAAACAAAAACAAATGGCATATGATATTTATGAAGATGTTGACGACACAACTGTTCCTGCAGGTGGGGTACAACCCGAGGAACCGAAAAGTGACGAAAAACCGATAGAAGAAGAAAAACCAAAAACTGAAGATAAACCAAAACCAAAGTTTAGTTTGGAAACTAAACCAAGTCAACCTTCATTAGCTGGTATGGGTTGGCGTCAAAGACTTATGGCAGCAGGCGGTTATGTAAAGTAAAGAAAAAAAATATTTTTTTATTTTTATAAAAATGCCCCCATATAGAATGGATAGAAAATCTGCTAGAATAAAAGCAGAGTTACAAAAATATGGTTGGAGAGTTTCGAAGAATTTTAAATATAGGAAGGGAAGACCCATAAAAGTCTATGACAAATTGTCTGGTCTTCGCTACGAAATGGATTTGGAAACAGCACGTGCCAATTATCCAAACAGACTAGAGAGGTTAGAAGAAGAACGTCTTATGGACATGCCTTTCGATGTTAGTGAACCTCAAGTTGAAGGACACGACGGCTTTGCCAGATTCTACTGGAAACATGACGAACAATTGCATCCTTTGAGAAGGAAAAAAGGAAAAGGTGAAGACGCACATGCTCCCATGGAAAGAACAAGATATGCATATGAAAAGTATCGTGAAGTTAGAAGTCAAATTACATCTGGTCGAACCTTTACAGTAAACTTTGACGAAGGAAAGAACAAAGAAGGCTTCATGGGTGTACTTGCTGCAATTCAAGACGGAAATAAGAAAGGACACAATCTCAGATTGACCATAACAGATTTGGATGGTCACATTTACTATGCACATGGCAATGAACAAACAGCCGCAAAACTTCTTGACGCTTTCAAGACTACAAAGAGAGAACAAATGGTTGACTCCGACTCAGACATTTTGAATGCAATTGAAGGAATTGCAAGTGTCAAGTTCGAATGGTACCAACCTAACCCTCAAGCAGTCAGACAACATGCTGGATACTTCCCGTTCATAAATAAGTCTGACATTGACTTGACAAGGTATGGAATTTACAATTCAATTGAAACAATTGTCAATGAACCTTGTATTCTTACATGTCTCAGGAACTCTGGTCTTGTTACAGATGAGAAGATGAAGTATCTTGAGTCATGTGTGAAGACAAGGTACATTCTCAGAGGTCAATTGGCAAAAATTGCACCGTTGGCAAATGTCAATATCCGAGTCAACATACCTACAGCTAAAGGTTCTTCACATGACGACTATGTTGTTGAGTTCAATTTACCATGGTTGAAGATTGTAATTGTCCACAACCACTTCATGTTGAACGAAAGTCTTACAAACCCATTGTTCGGAAAAGGCAAGTGCAACATTGTCAGAGCTGTAAACATTCTTTTCGAGAAAGGTTTGTTGGAACCAATTCCAGATGACAAGCTGACAGAAACTTTTGTACCAAAAGACGAAACAAACTTTTCACTGTTAGCAAGACCAAAAGTTGTTCCAGACAAAGTTCTAGTACAAAAGAAGTACACAATTCCACAAGGAGTTGGATTGTTCGGATACCAACCTGAACCAGAAGAACTTCCAATGAGGTTGCAAGAACTTCAAGATGCTATAAATAAACTTCCATTGAGACATCCAATTGACGTCAAATTGTATTGGAGAGCATCTGAGTTAGGTCAGAAGGTTTTATATGAAACAGGTTGCTTCGACGATGTTTATGAGATAACAGGAGAAGTTTCTCAGAAGATAAGAGACTCACTTGAATTTCCACAAACTGGACCAATTGGTTGCGACAAGTTCGACTCAGATGAAAAGATATACTATGTCGACCTTAACGCTGCATACATGAGGTTTGTCCAATATATTCCGACTGGAATTCCAAACGAAGATGGTGAGTTCCCGGGAAGGAACTATACAGTTGGAAAAGTCATACAACAACTGTATGATATTAGGAAAGCTTCAAACCCCAAACTTGCAATGACACTCAAATTGCTTATGAATTCGACATGGGGATATTCCATTAAGAAACCTCAAGAGATGAAGAGTAAACATTATGAGAAGGTCGACAACTTTGTTGAAAGGTTTTCTCCTTTTGTTTTGAAGTACGAATTCACTCAAGGTCAAAGTGGCTTAGTAACCACATTAAAACCTATTGTCGAACATTGGTCTTACCCTCAGTTCGCAAAGGCAGTCCTTGACAACTACAACAAATTCTTCTCCGAAGTCAAATCCAAAGTTGTGGTTTACTATGAGAACATTGACGCACTCATGACGAACGAAGAAGGATACAACAAACTCATTGAAATGGGTTTAGTCGGTGAGAAGATGGGTCAATTCAAATTGGACAAAATTTTCACCGAAGTTCATGTCCTCTCCAAGCGTAAGTACTGGGGCATACTTGAAGACGGCACAGAAATAAAACATTGCATGAAATAAAAAATTTTTATTCGAATTTGAATTAAAATGTGGGAATTCTTGGGAACGGGAAAGGCTTATTTACTTGAGGAACAGGTAAAGGTGGTGGAGGTGGAGGTGGTGGCAACCAGTCCATTTTATATTCCTTCCTAGGTAATTTCCGTTTAATTTCATGGTCGCCCTCGGAGTCTTTGAATCGGACAGGTCGAGTTACACCATTCTTGGTCTCAAACTCATATATAACCTGTTTGTCTGTATTTTCGTCGACTATGGCACGAGACACGAACATTGACCAAACGGACAAAAAGTGTCATTTCGGATGGTCATGCAGCCAATCGCATTCGAGCACTTCGAAGAAGCCTTACGTTCCAAGGGAGAGGGTGTCTGGTGCAAGGCAGAGGTCATGAAACTCTACGAGCAGTACATCCTCAATGCCTGGGAGGACAAATCGTCCTTGGATTGGCAATTCTACCAACTTCTCTGGGACGACCTCCTACGCAACTGGGATGACGAAAGAGTCCAATTCAAAGGTCGGGAACTAATTTTGCAAATTGACCTTAATTTCACATACTTATCCAAATAAACACCTAAATTTACTTGGGGTTTCCCCCTAAAATAAATTTTTTTTACTCTTAGAACCACTCGAGGTTCTCCTTACGGTTGTTGAGCTTGTCACCGTCAATGTGTCTGACCTTCGTCTTCTTGCCTGGATTTGGAACCCATTGAATTGCGACAAGCTTGCCCATGGAGATTGAACCGCGATTCCGAAGGTTAAGGTTCAAGTGTCCCAAGTTGTTGAGGACTGGGGTTAGAACCTTGCCGGTCTCCCTGTTGCGGATTTTGTATGGGTAGGGTTGGGAAATTTCGTAAGTGTCATCGGCAACAAGGGTTGCCCAAACTTCCTCTTCTTCGTGTTTCTCTTCTTCCTCTTCTTCCTCTTCCTCTTCTTCGTGTTTCTCTTCTTCCTCGACAATTCCTTCTTCAATTCTGTGTTCACGAATTACGGTGTTGGAGGTTCTGTCCTTTCCGAGTACCTTCCAGATGGCATCTATCTCTTCGAAGAAACGGTAGATGAGTCTGGAAAGGTCTCGGTTCTCTCTCTCGTAATTGCGCAAGGTTTCCGCGAAATCGTTCAGGCATTTCTCATTGGAAGCTTGGTTCATGAGGACATCGGCTTTGAGCTTGGTCATCTCTGTCATAAGACAACTTTGGAGAGTCTTAATGGTGTTTGTCAGATGAGCTTTCAATTGGGCAATTTGAATTTGAATTGGGCGCTTGTCTGGCAACCTTGAAAGGACATCTGCCATTGAGTTTGGCTTCGGTGCTTGTTCGGACATCGAAAAATGAAGTGGTTTGAGAATGACGGTTTTACTTCAAAAAGCTTGTTATGACAGTTAAGTCATACAACAAGTTTAAAATAATATCTTGTTCTTCTTCTGAACGTTTGTTGTCTCTTCCGATAAAAGTTTGGAACATGAGAACCAAAAAACGTTTTTTGAGATTGCGGAAGAGTTCAGGCAAACGTTCATATTCCGGATATGTTGGGAGCAGTTCGAAACATCTGAGCTGACTTTCGGACAAAATTGGGACAATGTCAGAAAATTCATCTTTGGTCGGACTGCTTGAAGGTAAGTCCCTTACATGTAAGTAGCTCTGGTAAAGTCTTCTCATTTCTGCTAACTTTTGGAGTATAGCTTCGTAGTTTAGAAGTTTTAATTTTAAATGTCTTATTCCACTCTTGACATCTAAACGGTAACTATCCATGAGGTCAAGAGTAGCTTTGGTAGCTTTAAGTGGAGCTATCTGTTCCTTGACTCCTGCAATTTTGGTTGCAATTGTGATTTGAGCTCCTTCAAGTTCGCCGTCTATGTCGTTCTCAACGTCTTCAACTATGGCTTGAAACTCTTCATCGGTCCATTGAGATTGGTGTGGGACGAATTTAACTTGCTTCATTCAAAAAAATGAAAAAAAATGTTTTTACTCTAAACGTTAAGGTTTACTGAACTGGTTGGATGTCGCCTTCTGAGGTTATGTAGAACGGCTGACCGAGAAGTGAAGGAGACCCTTGAGAATTTGGCTCATTCTTGGGAAAGGGTTCTCCTTGTTTGGAAGTAGTATCCAAGGACGCTTGGCAAAGAACTTGAGAAGAGCTTCTTTCTTTGCTTGCTTTATGCCATCGTAGGCTGTCCCGTCTGGTATTTGAATTGGAATTCCAGTCGAAGTCTCGAGATTCAAGGCAGCCCTTCCCGTTATCCAACCGCTAACAAGCTTGCCTTTTACATTCTGCCTGAGGAAGTCTTTAACAAGCTCGTTAATTTCAATTAGGTAAATTGCCTCGTCGGTAGGTTCGACCTCGACCATTGCTACTGACAGAAAAAGTACTTCTACTGTCAGAAAAAGTACTGCTACTGTCAGTAAAAGTACTTCTACTGTCAGAAAAAGTACTGCTACTGTCAGTAAAAGTACTTCTACTGTCAGTAAAAGTACTTCTACCGTCAGTAAAAAGGAAAATTTGAGAGGGTTTTCGACGATAAAGTACTTCTACTGTCAGTAAAAGTACTTCTACTGTCAGTAAAAGTACTTCTACTGTCAGAAAAAGTACTTCTACTGTCAGTAAAAGTACTTCTACTGTCAGTAGAAGTACTGCTAGTAGCAGAGATTTTTATCGTTGTGGTCCGATGGTTAAGCCACAAACGAATGTCCGACGTCCCACCAACCGAGTCCATTCCCAAACCAGAGGAACCTAAAGCACCAGCCCCTGCACCTCAGTTCCAGCAAGTCCCTCCACCAAATTACTACCAATTTCCACCTCAAGGTTACTACCAATTTCCACTACAAGGCTTCCCGAACTACCCTCCTCAGCCTATGCCTTACTTCCCCAACCCTTGGATGTTCCAGCAAGCTCCACCCCAGCAATTCCAATCTCAATCCCAATCGAAGAGAGACCAAGACTTCGAAGAAGGCCTGAACCGCTTACGCAAAGAGTATGCTACAGCTCCTATGGAAGACGACAGGCTTTCAGTCTCTTCCCTAAGGTCGACCAATTCGACTCGTACCACAGATTCGGTTCGTGACCGTGAAGACTACCTCAAGCAGTCTGAGAGACTCTTCATCCTACAACCATTTACAGTTGGAGCTCTCAAGAACATGCGCAATTACGAAGGTCAGACACCAGCTGGAGACCGCAAAACAGACGTACTCGCAAGAGCAGTCCAACTGGTCAAGACAAAGACTGAGATAGTCGACTTCATTCTTGCAGCTTGCCCATACAAGTAAAAAAATAAACAATTACGAGTTAAACTTTTTATTCTTTCTTTTCTGAGTTGTTTAGAGCTGGTTTCTCTTGTAGGAACCTTTCGTACTCTTCCATGGTCATGTAATTGCGAATTTGGTACGCAATTCCAGGTTCGTTGTTTTTGAACCTTACGTATGTAACGCTTCCATCCTCCTCAGGGAAGTAAGCTGCTAACATCTGACCAAGTTTTCTCGGTGACTCGGAGCTCATAAAAATGTCACTTTTTAAACGTTAAGTTTTAGTCTTATTTTACCCTTTGTTTACCCTTTGTTTGTCAATGTAGTATTGGAGTGCAATTTCTCCAAATTCTCTATGTCGGAGTTCTTCAGCATTTTCCAAGGTGTACCTGGAGAACTCAAAGAAGTTGTCAAGAAGATACTGCCATGCTGCTCTTCTGAGTTCGTCGGTATTTTGGAAGTGTTGCACCTTCGAGTCTTCGGACATGAAAAAATGACACTTTTTCTATTAAACCGTTTTGGCATTTCTCATGAGTGAGTATAGTTCTGCCGAACCATTGGAAGAGAAGAAGTACCCTTGCTGGCAAAAGACAAAAATAGTTGCCTTAGTTGTCATTGCAATTGTACTCGTAATTGAATTCATTGTACTTCTCTTCACGTACATAAAACTCAGCAATGGTATTTGCTTTAAGAAGCTACCATCTTACTAAGACTAAACACTTAGATTTTTCAAGCTTGACTTTTTACAATTTGAATTTCCTCATATGCTTGCTTCCCTCGGAAAACCGAGGAAGAGATTCCGTATGAAAACAGTGAAGAACAGCGAGTAGTTAAAAAACCCCAGTCGCCAAAACTCTATGAAAACAGTGAAGAACAGCGAGACCGACTTCTTTCGGGTCGCCTTCAAACAAGCAGAGTAAATGAACTCTTTATTTTTCAAGCTTGACTTTTTACAATTTGAACTTTGTTTGCGTAGATATGAATTCTGAAAGAAGTATGAGGGTCTTGTATGACTTTGTACTTCTCCCATAGTTCATGTCTGTCAAACTTACCTGCCATGGACTCTTTCATAAGTTCCATGAAATCGTCTTCGGACAATCCGGGGAAAAGTATAATGTCAGTAAGTATTCTTTTAACATCCTTACTTAAACTCTTGGCTGTCTGTACACATATTACGACTGAGATGTGAAAGTGTCTGAGCTTCTTAAGAATTCGACACATATCTTGTTCTCTGTTCTTTAACAAAGGATGAGAAGCAAAGTCATCTAAGATAAGAAGACATCTATGAGGGTAAGTCTTCCAATCGTACGATTGCAATTTCTTCGAAATGTATTCTATCTCTTTCTGTTTGTTTCTGAAGTGTTTCTTCTCTAATATTCTCTGCATTTCCTCATTTGGGTCTTTGAACTTAGAATTTATATACTCATTTATAGCATTATACTTCAAAACTCTTCTTTGGTACTTCTTTATCCAATCTAACAACTCAGTATCCTTTATACATACTAACTTAGACTTCTTTATAATATCTTTGAACGAATTGACGGTTTGGTCAAATTGACCAGAAGTCGAACAAATGACTACTAACTCATAGAATGGGTTCTTCTCATCTAGTTCTTGTTGTTGTGCAGCCATTTTAAGATAAGTGAAAGTCTTACCCGACCCAGGTGGTGCAATTAGACCTGTTATACCATTCTGAGCAAATAAGAACTTGTCATGTATAGGTTTTATTTGAGCATTTTCTAACTTCCTCTTGTTCTTGTTTAAAACATTCTCAAATTTCTTGTCAATGTCAGCAAACTTTTTTTCTAACATATTTTTAGAAAAATTAAAATTTTTATCTTTTAGAAAATGTCTAGTGATTTCGCTATCTATATTCGAGACAAGCTTTTTGACTCTAAAACTTCTGTCGACCATAAAATCTTACATAGTGTAAACAAGAAAGGTGAATTTGTTCTAAAGTTCTGTTTCTGGGAATATGACAAGAACCATAAAACATTAAGCAGAGCAGTCTTTAAGTTTGTCAATGACAGACTTGTTGACAGAGATGACGCCTCTTGGAGAGATGAAGTCCAACAAAACTTCTTAGAATGCAAAGAAGACACATGCGCTGTTCTTGAAGATGAAATAGAAAACAGAATAGATGAGCTATTAAAGGACAAAGAACTTTTACATAAATATAGTTGCGCCAAATTTGACATAACTCCACCAGAAAAGAAGAAGAGAGAAAGAAAGAGAAAAAAGTAGAAGAGAAGAAAGAACCAGAGCCAGTTCCAGAGAAAAAGAAATTTGACATGTAAAAATAAAATTTTATTTTTAGAACATTTCTGGGTCAATGTCAATGTTCTCTTCCTCTTTAGGAGTAAACACTGGCTTAGACTCTAAAATCTTTTTACCCAACTTACCTTGAACTTCAACTATCTTAGACTCATAATATTCATAGTCGTCTGCTTTCTTTGGTTCATAAGGTATAACAAGTTTGTATGCTTTACCTTCTTCGAGTTTTGAGAACTTTCTGTCAAAATTTTCTTTGACTGTCAACATACCGTCAATGTATAAGTCTTCAAAAGTTGCACCACTTTTTCTAACAACAGCAAACTTAACTGGTGCAATGTTCCAAATTTTGTCAAATGTAGACTTTTCAAAATTGTAGAAGTAAACATTCAAATATGCGAATGGAGCTAACTTATCTTTGACTTCTGTCATGTACTTATTTACTGAGATGAATTTCGTCATCTTTTCTATCGGATAAAAAATATTTTTTTTAAAATTTACTCAGAAAAAATTTTCTTTGTATATACACCATTCTGAACATCTAAAAGACTTTTGACATTTGCCAAGAATGTACGTTTAGAAGCTGCCATATAACCATATTCTTGACAATATTGTTTATACGAATCGTACAATGACCTTTCATCTAATGACACAAAGTCAGTTTCATCTATGAACAGTTCATATACACTCTTGTTTGCTTCTAACAATGTTTGTCTCTCTTCGGTATGTGGAATTTGTCTTGGATTGAACTTAGAAATATCTAATGTCATAAAGTATGAGAACAAGTGGTTGTAAAAGTCAGATGTCAAAGTTTCTGCTAAGTCGTCAAAATATTCTGTATCTTGCATATGAGCTTCTGACGTTCTGACAACTACATATCTTCTGTCAGAACTTTCTAACTTCATCGGAACAACATTGTTTGAAACCATAATGAAGTTTGCAACATTTTCACAAACTCTTTGGTCTTTATACTTTCTTTCAACAACTCCAACTTTGTCTGTTATAAGACTCTTCAAAGCATCTGAGTTCAAAACTTTTGTTGTATCTATACTTTGAAGTTCATTGCAAACTATAAGTTTCATATTCTCAATTGAAGAGTTAAATTTACCGCAGATGTTTTCTAAGTTTGTCATATTAGGGTTCGAATAACCTTCTAACAGTTTGCATAAGATATCTGTAAAGAAAGTATTCTTACCTGTTCCTTGTTTTCCAATTATAATGAGAGCAGTTTCATTTTTAGCACTTGGATGTTGTAAGATATTTGCAAACCAACATAAGATATACTCATAAACCTTTTCGTTTCCATTGCATATAATTTCTTTGACATGGTCTAACCAAGCTTCTATAATATTTTCTTTCCATTCTACTTGTTCGTATTTATATCCAGTGAAGATAGAATAGAAGTTTGGAGAAGGTGTATAGAACTTTATACCTCGAACTGAAAAATCTTCTAACTTTGACAATAAGATATCCCAAGCATCTAACATCTTCATTCCAACTTGTACGACTTTTATTTTCTTAAGTTTCTGTCTACATTCTTGTTCAGACACTATTGTTGCTCTTGGTTTGTTAAAGACAACATCCCATTCTTTCATGACATAACATTCTGGGGCAGAGTCAACATAAATGACTAAACGTTTCAAATTCTCGACTGCTTTGTTATAGTCTCTAAATGGACACATATTTCTGAATGCTTGGAAGTCATAAAAATCTGAAACATCTATTCTGTACATTTTTATAAAAATAAAAAAAATATTATTTTTTTATTCTTGACTTTGTTGTTCCATTTGTTGCATTTGTTGTTCTTGAGCTATTTGTTGTTGAAGTTGTTCTTGTAATACAATACTTTCACCAGTTGCATCTTCCAATTCGAAACTTTCTGCCGTCATTGACAAATACATAGGACATAAAAGTTTTACAGGAACAAAGTTTGCGTCAACTAATGTCAACGTTATACTTGCCAAAGTGTTTGAGTTCACTAAGGTTGAAAATTCTGCATTCGAATGAACAATAGGCAAACCAGCAGAGAAAGTATTGTTTATACGCATAAGTATCTTTTGGTCATAATAGTTTCTGTCGACATTCGAATAACACTTTGAACCTAAGTTTGAAACAATATATAAGATTGGTGTGCTTAATGTCAATGGAATAGACATTCCTTGTATGACACCTTTTCCTGTTATAGGAAACTGTTGGTAGTAAAAACCAGAAATAAGTTTTGTATTATAGCTCATATTGTTTATAGTAAACTCAGTCGGACATCCAAACATAATGAAACCTGCTCTAGTTGCAGCACATGTTACATCCGTCCTTAAAGTATTAAATAAGTCAACAAAACCTGTTGGTGGTATATCTGAGTAAGTATCTTCAAAGGAGTATTTTTTACCATTCACAACAATAAAGTCTTCTGGTGTCAAAAGAGCAAAACAGGCTTTAGTCGTCATTGTGTTTAAGGTTAGTTTACAATATCGTCCTTGAGGACTTTGTAAGTTTGTTGTTATAGAATTATATGACTCGGGGTTTTTAGTCGTAATAGTATAAACCATTATGTCTTCTGCCATTTATATATATTTAAAAGTTTTTCTGAAAGTGGAGAAGAACTTCATCTAAACTTTCACATGGCGTTTCTTGAAGTTCTCTGTCTAAGAAGTTCAAATATTTTGTAAAGACATAGAACTTTCCTTTGTCTACACGAACAAATAAAACAGGGTCTTTCATATCGTTCAAAAGTGTGTAAAGTCCTTTACATGAAATAAAGTCTATATTATTTTTTTCAAACATCTTTCAAGAAGTTTTGACATTTTTACTTAGCAAATAAATTTTAATGAAATGTTGTGGTCGTCAAATATTTTTATAACGTCTGGGAAACTATACTTTAAGTTCAACGTTTCACCTCCTTTCATAACGTATATCAGTTAGTATACAAGTCTCGTGTACTGAGGCACTGCGTTCCTCCGTACGCAATACTTGTGAATTTGACACTTTACGAAACTGTTAACGTATATTTTACAACACAAACGACAACACTAACTTAACCTTAAATATTTACAAAGCCGCCAACCACTTCACCTCACTAATGAAAAAATAAATGTTTTCACAAACGACTTCACTAATGTAAAAATAAACGTTCTCACTTACAAAAGTATTGCAACTCCTCCCATTGCTGTGCTTCACATAACAGCTCATAATCTTCTGACTCACTTTCTTCTTCATATAGGTCAAAGTCACTGTCAAAATAAATGTTAGTAAGTTTTGACAAAGCTAATGAAACACGTTTACCGTTTGTATCGTATGCTTGTATAAACTTTCCATTCTTCATTCCTTCATAAACGCTCAAACTAACTTTACCCTTTCTCCCTCGTATCTGATAGAATGTATTTTCACGAGGAACGAAGAACAAATTCTTGAACTCATGACCGTTGTAGTTTGTTATCTCAATAGTTTTCGTCATTTATATAAAAATAAAATAAAATAAAATAAAAAATAAACTTAAAATTAATGATATCACCACCCTCACACGTATGAAAACATAGCACAAAAATAAATTTAGGTGAAGTGGTGAATCTCACCTCTTTTTTCACCTCTTTTTTCACCCTAGCCGCAAAGCGGCTCTGACCCTTTGGGTCTGTTGAATTCATTACTTTATAACTCTCTTCCTTTCTCCAACTCTTCTAACTTCTTCTTAAGTTCAGCAATGTTGTCCTCATGAAGTTTAATCTTCCTTAATATACCTTCTCTATCTAATGGTTGCTTTATCTTTCTAAACTGAACTCTACCATCCTTCATAGTATGAACGTAAAAACCTTCTGGAACCGCTCCTGATTTAATGTATTCTACCAAAAATTTTTGTTTCATTGCTTCAGTGACTTTAGTCGTCATTTTACTCTAAATAAAATGTTCAAATAAAATAAAACTAACATTATTTTTTCAGTAAGGAAACGCAGGAGTTTTACGATTTATTTGAGGAGTAGGTTCTGGTTTAAATGTTGGAGTCGGTTTTGGAGTTGACTTTTGAACAGGAGTTTGTACTTTCATAGGTTCAGGAGTCATTGAAGGTGTTGTTTGTGAAGGCGTTGGTTTTGGCGATGGTGTCGGAGTTTGTTCAAATTCAGCTACTTCAGTATTATTTATAACATTTGCTTTGTTTCTTTTCAACATCATTACTGCTCCTGCTGTAGCTAGCAAACCTAGTGGGAGACCATATCTTATATAAGGACTTGACCAAATGCTATTTTTGACAGGAGCTGGTGGAACACCTAACCTTGGTGAGACTGCTCTTTGCCATTGTGCAGCTCGTAAGAAATATTCAATAGGTGCTCCATAATCGTTTGGTAAAGTTTGTTTCACAGATGGTGAAGGTTCACGAGAGCTTGATGAAGAACTCATTTATAAGCTTTAAAAATAAACGTTCATCCTTTATTCCTCACTGTCGTCCGCTGCTAAGTTATAGTCGTCAAGTCTTATTATTGGTATGCCTGACTGTCTTACTTGTATTGCAAAGCAACAATCCCTCATAAATCCAATAAGTGGCTTTGGTACATTTTCTGTTGCTAGTTCAATAGGTCCTTTAACAGACAATTTGTATGTTATTGGAGCAGTAGATGTTTGACCTTGCTGGAAGCAAAAGTCCACTTCTGTTGGAAAACCACATAAGAAATGTGTGTTGTCATAGCTATCCCATTTATGTTCCACACTACCATCATCCACCAATGACCTCATAACATCTTCATTAAATCCAATCATATCATTGTTTGTATTGCAAGCGTTCGCAACCATTTCATAAAATACAGGTCCATATGATTTTTCAGGTTCTGCAGGCATATTTCCATAAGCTCCCATGGAAAGCTGAAGATATTTAAACTTAGGGTTCTCAAAATTAACATAATAGTTGTCTTTCTTTCTAAATAGTGCCCAAATACTTTTAACATTAATAGGCGTATAAGCTGCTGTAAATGTTGCACTTGAACTATCTGTATTCTTTGAGAATGAACCATCCATAGGAATCCAATCCATAACTTTAACAGGAAAACATAAAGCCTCGTTTGTATAATGTTCTACAAGTTCTGTATAAATGTTAGGGTCTAAAGAGAATGACTTTGGATGAATAAAACATTCATTAAAATCCATCTTTGTTCGAAATAGTTGCTGGGTTACAGTTGTAATAGTAACTGTTCCACTAGCTTCAGTTGCACTCGTTATCATAGTGAATGGTTCATTCCATGGAACAAATTTATTTGTCGGTGGATTTGAACCTGAAGCAAATGCAACTTTAAGAGTTGGATTGAAAGCAATGATATCATTTACAGATATAGATGTGCATTGTAAGGCGTCGCTACTGAACTTTACTTTAAGCTGAATGTTTCCTGCAAAAGCTGGAATAAATCGAATAGGTTCTAATGGAAGGAATCTTCTAACAGGAATTCTTAAACGAAGCTTAAAATCAAATGATTTTCCTGCTGTAATTGGACCACCAACAATTTGTCCTGTTCTGCATGTTCCCGAATGACTCCATACATCTTTATGTCGAGTCTTTGAAAAAACATCGACTTTCTTTATTTGTTCGGTAGTTTGTGAGTTTGAAGTTATATATGCTTCTTCTCTTGCGTTGTCTTGAGAATATACGATACGACCATTTGCAAGGATTTGATATCCAGCAACTGCATAGAAAGCGTCATCGAAACCAATCCAAAATCCTGGTGGGTTTGTTTTATTGGAACCTGAACCAATTTCTTTATCTACAATAAATTGACCTTCCATTTTATACGTAATGAATGTATTGTAAAGGTCCAACATATTTTCACCAGGAGGTGAGAGATTGAATGTTACCCATGTGTTATCTTTAGCAGTTCCAGGTTGTGATGGAATCTTTGCGTCAGAATATTTTCTATTAGTGTCACCAATTTGAACTGCATTGTCTATGATATCGAAATATGAGCGAATCTGATGAATATGCTCTGCTGGAGTAAATTCGTTTAACTGTTCGTTCTGCATGTATTTACTTCAGATAAAAATATCTATTTACTTCATTATTCTCACTCTTCTTCTTGGTATTCGTGGTGGAAGTTGTTTCTTGACATTTTCAATGAACTGTACATTCTCTTTTGTCTCACTTCTTTCACTGGTGGGTCAGGGTTCTTTGACTCGGTTTGCTTTTCAATGAAATTCACGAACTTTGCAATAAGCTCTTGGTTCGTTATTGAAAGTACATCTGGCTTCTTTTCTTCTTGTTCTTTTGGTGGCTCAGTTTGTACAGAAGGTTTTATATGGGCTTCGCCCTCGTGCCATGCACCTTAATGTTGTCGCTCTCTGTATTCGCTAATGGAACCTTTCTTTTTCTTACATATATTTTACCATCTTTACTCTGACTTACATAATAGAAAGGATGTTGTATTCCTCTGGCGTCATTTAATATAATAGACTCTCGTTCTGATTTTGACAAGCTCATTTTACATCGGTTAAAGTTTTAATTTAGTTTTTTATCTACAGTCAAATGACTCAGTCAAATCCTACGGACAAGACCCAAGGGGTCATAGATGTTGAAGCATTGAAGAAAGAAATTCGTGAACAAATTTTATCCGAACTGAAGGAACAAAAACCAGAACAAAAGCCAGAGAGACCAAAGAGAAAACTTAGTGAAAAACAACTAGCTGCATTAGCTGCTGGAAGACAGAAGAACCCACGTTTGCTGGCGAAAAAAGCTAGAGAAGAAGCAAAAGCAAAGGAAGAACAAAAAGCAAAGGAAGCTGAAGCAAAGAAAGAGTAAATGGTTTATTTTTATCCAAACTAAATGTATAGACAAATACCTTTATCTGTTGCGTTCAGTAGTGAAAACCCTGACGTCAAAATAAAGGGGAACAGAGTAACGTTTAAGTTTCCAACAGACTGGATTGTGAACATAAATGAAGAGAAGTACATTGGCATAACATCTATGTATATAACACGTGCTTTCAGAAAGGTTGACTTTATACTTCAAGTCGAGATAGAAAATGACGAACAGTCTTTAAGCGCCCAAAACATTCACATATACAAATACTTTAAAGACGATACAACATTGTTGCAATGTATGATTTCATTTAATGAGATGTTCGAGAAAAAGTTCAATATTGAAGTACAAACTTTACAGCCTTTACGTGAGTTTCTTGCACAACTGAAAGAAGAAGGTAGTCAGCCACAACTTATAGACTTTCATTATGAATTTAATGAAAATGAAGATGGAACTCATGACTGTCAGTTTGTTATATATTCACCATTCAATGAAGTCGCTAAAAAGAAAGAAAATCCATTACGTATAAGGTTTCAAATCTCTGAACCCAATGAAGACTTCAAGAATGTTTTCAATTATGATGCAATACTTCCGAGGAAAAATGAATTTTCAAAGATTGTAACACCTGGCATTTGGGATAGAAAGCAAGCTATATTATATTCAAACTTAAGTAAGGGAGTTGAAAATGAGTTCATTGGTCATACAAGAACTTCACCACTGTCAAATCCTAAGTATTACAAGCTTACTGGCTTCAATCGTGAGTTTTGGATAGACATGTTCTCCACTCATGACCATAAGTGCCCAGTGTTCTTACCTCCAGATGGGAAAGATTGTTTATACATTGAAGCACAATTGTTAAACTCTACAATAGCTGTATTGTAAATGACCACATAGGCTTCGCCCATGCCGCTAGCGGCTTATTTTTATCACAAATGACCTCATTGCTGACAAAAATAAATGACCTCAGAACTTCAACTTACGAATAAAGCTTGTTTTAGTCGTTATTGAAAAGTTGAACTTTTCAGCAAAGCAAGGTTGACATGACTTACATAAGTCGAATGCAATCTCTTGACCATCATAAAGTGCTTTGTAAAGTTTCATTAAACTGAACTCAGAGTCTTTGTCATATGTTCCAACAGGTATGTGAATGTTCTTATCTTCATTGTAATAGCATTGTATAGCTTCAGGAAACATTTCATTAGCGGTTAAAGCAATAACATCTTGCTTCACGCCTTTCATTCTGCAGTGAAATGCAACTTCATTTAAATCATTCGTGAGTAAGTCTATGTAGGTCTTCTTTCCACAGAAAATACTTTTATAAGCTAAACTTTGTTTTCCAGGTGTTATTTCTGCAAAGTCGCTATGAAATTGACCAAGGTTCTTTCCTATAAGTTCTCTACCGTATCTCTTCTTAAACTCTGCTGCAAGCTTTGGGATGTCTTCATTATATAAGTGCATACTGTCGGTATCCTGGTAAAATATTTGAAGACCCATGTCCTCTGCAGTACAGAATACTTCATTCATAATACGTTTTGACATAGACAGAATATTAACACAAGTGGACAGAAGTTAAAGTGTCTGCAAATGCTTTTCGTTAGCTTGAAAATAGTTTTATCTGAACCATCCAAACCTTCGAACTTCACTATATGGTTGTAATTTCTTATAGCATATCTTATAGCATCTTTGTCATCTACTATGGTTATTTTTGACTCAATAGGAGATAGAATAGTTTTGCCATAAATGCTGTTCAGAATGAGTTTTATAATTTCTTGTAAGGGGTTTTTTCTTTCTTATACTTTAACCTTAACTCAAACAACTTCTTTACTTCATCTCTTATTCTCATATCTCTGTTTCCATCGTAATAGTATCCTTGCAACACTTCACATTTGACACCTTGATATTTTATGAGGTCTTGTAATGTTATATGGTCAACATACATGAGACAGCAAGTGTTTGAACTTCTTGGAACGTTAAGTTCTGGATTTAGTTCAGGGTCGCAAACTATTAAATGAAAGTGTCTGGGTATACCAATCTCTGTTATCTTAATGAGAACAAAGAAGCCAGACATAAACTTTTCACCAATGGGTTCCTTTTGGTCATCATCGAATAAATGTCTCATGAGATACTCTGTGTTTAACATTTCTTCCTTCAATACTTTTGGAATACCTTCTAAAGTATAAAGTCTTGCTATAGCTGAAGGATATAATGAAACAGTGTCGAAGTCAGCAATGAGTTTCTTTTTGCTCTTTTGTTTCATGTTATCTGACAACATACATCTTCCACCTTGAATGCATCTCGAAATAAATTCTCTTGGTTTATTTGAGAGGTCATAAAGATTTCCATTCGGGAAGTATACTCTGTTCTCAAACAATTTGTTAGCAATTGAACAAATACTAACGTAGTCATAAACGTTTAAATCAAACTCTTTCAATAAGTCATTGCGGAACTTTACAAAACCTTCTCTTAAAATTCTTACATCTTGTTTGCAGTAAAACGTGCTATATTTTTCTAAGTCGAAGTGGTTCTCATCTATTCTGCAACCTTTGATGGAATCTATGTTTTTCATAAATGTATCTGCATCCCGGATAAACTTACATGCTTCAGAAATGACACCAGTTCTGTTGTCATTTGCTAACAAAACACTGCTGTAGTAGTTATATGGAAATACTTCTTTCGGTCCTGTTTGTAAGTTAAACATAGCAGGAAATAGTTTAAGCTTCTTATTTATAACACTGTAAGAGTCTTTTATAATAATTGCCCGTCCTTTTATAAACCGGTTATTTGCATTGTTCGTGAACCTTTAATGATGGGAGTTCCTTTCACTTCTGTCATGTGTCTTAAGATGAAGTTTATGTCATAACTGAGGTTGTGAAAATATATTAAACTCTTGTCAGGGAGTCTTTCCAAAAATTCTGTTGCACAGTTTTGACCCCAAATGCTTTCACTCACTGAACCATCTTCACTGTCATAACAGATGTTAAAAGCTTTATGAAAGCCATCCGTACTACACTCAAAGTCAGCAAAGAAAACGTGCTCAGGAATGAATTTACATTTAGCTTTATTTACTTCTTTTGACTCTGCTTTCTTCTTCAGTTGTACACAATACTTTGGAGCATATGTCAAATCTTTAAATGGTGCAAGGTTCTGTTTATATAAGTCAGTAGTATATGTGAAAAGTTCTCCATAAGAAATAGGTTCGAAATATTTGCACTCCCACAATGTTTTCATAACATCCCATAACGGTGTTGTTCTATCATAACGAACTACATATTTATCTTCTCTCTTTGTATAAATCTTCATCTGTTTCTCAATGTTCATTCCACCACAAGCTTTGAGAATTTCTTTATAGTTTCGAATGAAGTATGTTGTCATTGGAAGTCTTTCATTTAGCATGTAGTGGTCTTCAACAAGAAGTAAGTCAATAGTTCTAACAGTTTCGCATTCTTTTGGTATATATCTCTTTATTTCATTATGTCTTGAGTCATTGAAATAACCAATGGTAACATTAAATGCTATACCTGTTGCGTCAGAAATTTCTTGTACTTTACTTTGAGGAAAGTCTCTAACACGAATGACTTCTCTCATGTGGTCAATAGTTTCTTCATTTACTCCAGCCTGAATGCAAGCATAAACGAAACAATTGTCCTCTGTCATAAGTATTGCAGTTCTTTTGTTCAGTTCATTGAAGATTTGGTAGCGTTCAAGATTTATAGGTAATGTGCAAAGATACTTCCATAACTGACCGCTTCTCTTCTTATAAAACTTCTTTTCACCATTATCTTTCCAAAAGCTTTCTATAAGTGCTGGGTTTCCTGTTTGCTTAAGAGCTTCCAAAATGGCTTTCTGGTCATTTGTCAGTGTGCTTTCATCTCTATATGGTCTCTTTTTTGGTTTGCCTTTCTTTACATCTGACATCGTTAAGCCTTCATATTCTGTTAAATCATACATCTTTATTTCAGTAAGATTCTTTATGTTTGTCAAGAAGAAGTCATAGTGCATTTCAACAATACCTGCAGCATTTGCTTCTATCTCTGATATAAAGTTCTCCTTCAAGAGCTGATGTAGTAATGTTCCATATTATTGAGGTTTAACGTAGAACATTCATACTTTCCACCAAGTTTATAACATACCATCCATCTTTGTTGCGAGTTTATTTTAATTTTCTCTAAGAGTCTCATGAAAACCTTACCGAAATGTTTGTGTAAATATTCTCTGTTTGGTTCATCTAAAGCTTCGATGTTAAAGTCAATGAGTCTATTGCCTGACTTCACATTTCTCTTCCTATTCTCTTCATCTTTCTTTAACCATCTCTCACCTTCTTTTGGTTTGTCGTCAATGGAACGAATGACATCGTTAGCTTTGCGAACTTGTTCTATAGCACTTTTAAACATCTCTCTTCTCTGTTGTTTCAGTGTGTCGTCTCTTCTTCTTGTTTCACCAACGTTTGCATTTGTTATGTCAAACATTTCTTGACGAACATCATGCGAAAGAGCTTTACGAGTATGACCAACGTTCGCATTTGTTATGTCAAACATTTCTCTTCTTACTTCATGAGGTACTGAACGTCTATGATATAAGTCAATAGCAATGTCATTTAAAGGAAATGCTCTTGCATGGACTTCGTCCTCGCCGCGTTGCGGCTTTATGAACTCATGAATTCTATCATAACTTATTGCACCATTGTAGTCTTTAATGAAGTCAGCGAGTGCTTTTTTGTTTGTCGCGTAATGTTTTGCAACATCTATATTAGCTTCTGTAAGAAGTTGTTTTATTTCCGAGTGTTCTAACTTAGACAACTTCCGATACATCTTTAGTAGGAAATAAAAAAATATTTTTTCGAAAAATTAGATTACATTTTTTTTAAGTTATTTTTCAAAATAATTTAATATTTTTATTTTAATGAAACACATGCAAGATTGCAAGTTCTTTTCATACAATGCTCTCGCTACTGCCATCAAGAATGAGTTCAATGGTGCTTCAAACGTCAATGTTATCTTTAACAAGAAGTTTGTGAAAGAATCTAAGTTCGGTCAGTATGTCAGACCATTAGCTATTGTCATTGACCGCAAACGTTATACTTCACAAGAGTTAGCAGTAGTTTTGAAACAAAAGGGTTTCTTCGTGAATGTCAAAGATACTCATTATACTGTTATAAAGAACTCCAACATTGACTTCTTCAGTATTGCTTTAAATCTTTCCGAACAGAAAGAATATAAGAAGGGTGAAATAAATGTGAAATATTATCCTTCATCTCTGAAGACAATAACGAACAAAGATGTTATACAAAAGTTCTTACCAAAGGTTGAAGAAGCTTCTATTGACATTGACGAAGGAAGTGAAATGGTTGAAGAAATTGACCCTGAAGCTATTTAACCAAAAATATATTTTTGGTGAAGAGGTGAGATTTCACCTGTTTTTTCACCTCATTCTCTCTTCGTTAATGTTGTCGTGACTTCTTCGTTAATGTTGTCGTGACTTCATTCTTCCTCTTTGAAGTTATCGAAATATTCTGTTATTTTTTCCTTCAGTAATGGTAAGTCTTCTTTGAAGGTAAGTATTGTGCAACCTTTGATGTCATAGTGTGTTTGAGGAAGAGTATTTTTGACAATTTCTTTTATTTGCTCATTCGGTGTCATTGAAATCGGTAAGTTTTCACGATAGAACCAGTTTCTGTCAGATTTATATATTTTAGCAAGGTCGTAAAAGCTTTTGTTGTTTCTTCTGACTAAATGCAACATAACCATATCTTTATCTTCTTCATTCTCCAACTCTTCAGTATAAATCATATACTTATAGTTCTTTTCCTTTCCTTTTGGTACTGAACGCGGTATTCTTTTCTGTATGCTTTTGTCTTTGGATTCAATGACTTCATCTTTTGCTTGAAGTTTCTTTTCCATCTCTCCACGTTCTTGTCTGTGAAGTTCGTCAAGAAGTTTGTAAATATTCCAAGCATAACGTGGTGAAGCCCACATTGCAACTGCATTTACTAAAAGTCTATGAACATAATATCCTCTCAAACCGTTTGGCAATTTTTCACGGTTTTCGTACGGAATCTCTTCTCTCGGTTTTCCGAGGGAAGCAATCATATGAGGAAATTCTTCTAAAAGTTCTTTTGTCTGTTGGTTTTCAAACCAATGATATGCTTGCTTTGTAGAACGAAGAGCATTCATTATACTTTGCATTTGGTACATGTCGTCTTTGACAGAACGAATGAGTCTCAATTGTTTGTTATACTGTATGTATTCGTATTCTTCATTTATGACTTCATGGACTATAGCTGTTGTTGTGTTCTCTGATGTTGACATTACTGTCTTTACATACAAGATAAAAATTTTTGTTAGAAAAAAATTAGCGTTATTTTCTGACTTTCACAAAAGACCAAAAATAAACGCTTTACATGTATTTTTCAGCAACTTCGTCAAATAATTTTATAGCTTTATCTATCTCATCTACTTCAAACGTTTCTTTACCTTTCGTGGGAGCACCATACATTTTCTCAAAAACTTCAAGCAGTTCTGTTTCAGCAGCTCTCATATCATTAACGAACACAACCTTGACTCTATTGACTGTACTGTCATATCTTTGAGTTATATTATATGTCCTTCCTATCTTATATCTTTTTGTGTTGAAGTCCTTCGGTTTCTGAACGATGTAAAGTAAGCCTTCACTGCAACGTTCTGAGTCGAATGAACCATAAGTTATGAAGTTATATCCAACAACTGGGTCTAACCATAACAAAACTATTGGTATAAGACTTTTGTCTATAAGATATGCTCTTGTTCCATGAAATGCTACTGATATCATAAGCTCAGGATTTCTTGTCAAAATTTTCTGAGTTGAAGCATTTCTAACCCAGTCGTTTGTTTTCTTTTCAGATGGAGATATAATGTCTGACAAAGAATATTTGTTGTATTTCTTTGAGTATCTTACGTTTAAATCACCTATTCTAACCACTTTGGTGTCATCGTCTATCTTTCTAACTGTTTCAAACTCAATGTTTGTCATTACTGTCTTTACATACAAAATAAAAAAGATATAAAAATAAAATTAGCGTTATTTTTCTAACTAATGAATTATTTTTGAAGAACTGATAGGGTCACCAGGTCACCAGGTCACCAGGTAATTTAACTTTTCTGAAAAAATGTGACAACATGACATTTTGACAACATGACATTTTGACAACATAGTGGGATTAATGAGGAAGGCATTTATTCATTATTTTTGAAGAACTGAAGGTGTCACTATGTCACTATGTGTCACTCGGTAATTTAACTTCTCTGAAAAATAGTGACAACATGACATTTTGACAACATGACATTTTGACAACATGACATTTTGACAACATAGTGGGATTAATGCAAAAATAAAGTTTATGTTAGCATGTTAGATCTCACCCGTTTTCTAACCACTTTTCTAACATCGAAGAAAACTATTTACAAGCGTTTTACATGGTATATGTTGCGATGGTTCATGACTTTAAACAGTTTTGTAGCTTCTATTTCTTCACGAAGGATATCAAAAATTTTAACTATGCCGAAGGTTTCTTTATATTTCTTCTTGACATCAGATAATAGGAAATCGTCAGCAGTTGGATAGTTTTTGTTCAGAAATGTCAACATATCCATTTTATCTTCTGCTGGTTTCTCTACTTCTTTCTTTAAGTCAGCATAGTCGTTTCTCATACGTTCTATCTCTTTGACAGAGTAGTTATATTTCCTCATTGCTGCTTTACATTTTGAACATTGCGGATTCATTTTTGCGTTATACATTGAAATTTGACCTGCTAGAACAACTAAGGCGTCAATGGTTTTCTTTAACTCAAAAGCTGCTGGTTTTAACTGTTCATGCCATACCTTACCTCTTCTATCTTTATCTCTTATTTCCCAAACACATTCAGCAACTAATGAAACAAAGTTGTCGTATGTCTTAAACTCCCCAGATTTATATATGTCAGAGATGTTCTTATATACCATGTCGCAATCTTTGTCCATAACTTTATGGTTGCAATGATATCCTAGAAACTCATAGTTTACTTTACGTATGAACTTCTTTATTTCTACTGAGTCAGTTGGTTTCACTTCTATTTCATCGAATTCATGAATAGTGAGCTTTTGTTGTTGGATTTCAGGCAATTTGGGTAAATGGTCAATAATGTCCTGCATGTCATAAAGATACTGTTCATTTGTTTCATCTTTCGCACTACAGTCTAAATTACTTGTTAAAAGTTCTTGCTTAATTCTTTGTATTTCTGTCTCAAAAGTATATGAAGAAGGAATGAAGCTTTTCATCTCTACTAACATAGATGTTGGATTCATAACTAAAGAGTTTGGTGAAGTTGTTGTTTGAAGTGTTGTAGAACCTATTGTTGAAATCATATCTTTACATACAAGATAAAAATTTTTCTTAGAAAAAAATTAGCGTTATTTTTCTTTCATAAGGAAATGTCAAAAATTCATGATTTTCGAGAGTTTTAGACCATGTTAGAAAAGTGGTTAGAAAACGGGTGAGATCTAACATGCTAACATAAACATGATTTTTGTTCATGGACTTCGTCCTCGCCGCTTCGGTCTGAAAGACCTCAGGACTCAAAGAGTCCGTTTGCGTCTTTATGACAAAAATAAATGGTACCATTAATAATATCATGACTGTTCTCATTCATGTCTGATTTACATCCAACGAAAAAGTTTAGAAGAATTTTCTTATTCTTTCTGGCATGTTTTTATCTTTCCAGTACTCCCGCTCTAATGGTCCCAGATGAGTTGGTTTAGATTCTCTCAAGTTCTTAGATGGTATAACATCTTCAACGCCTCCTTCATATCTTACTTTATAAGTGTCATCGTTTATGTTGTAGTCAAGTATTTCAATAACCACTCCTCGCTTTGCTTCGTCAATGGTTTCAGCAAGTTTGCCATTACTACTTTCGACTAATTTATGACGAGGGTAAAATGCTATGGAGTCGTCAGCAGCTTTTATAAGATATCCATTACCTTGCGTAGAGTCTACGATATAATAATTTCGACTTAACCTTAAACGTTTCTTTGTCAACGGTTTGTCGTCAAGAACTACACGAACTTTTGTTCCAGGAATGAGAGTAAATTGTGTTGAATTTCTGATATTTTGTGTTTGACTTCGTTTCTTTTGTATATACTTTTCTTCTTGTTGTTGTGTCATTGAATTTGGTGTATGTCCTGTTGTAGAATGTGTTGAGGAATTGTAAACTTCGATGAAATGTTTCATTGTTTCTTCGGTAAAGTCTCGCTCTTGATTTAAATCTCTGAGAGTCCTTATGAAGCGGTTAATGATACCGAGTATGTTATGGTTATGGTCTTCAGTAGTGTAGTGAGTTATGTTATGCTTAATGAGAAATTCTGTGATTTCGTTGCTGAGGTATGCACCGTCTTGGTCTGATGTTAAAATACTTGGGCTATGTTCTGCTACAAACTTTTGTAAAACTCTTAACACTTCATGAGTTCCTTTATTTCTCATTATATACGCAAAAGCTTTGCGAGTGTTAACATTAATGAAGATGAGGAATGGTTTATGTCCTCCTTTTCTGCTTTGAATGAGAGTGTCAAATTGGTATGCGTCAGGAGTGTTGGAGTAAATTGGTAAAAAGTAGTCGTAAGGATTTATTTTTGTTTGATGTACAACATTTTTGTCAAAGAACCTTTTCACTTCAGCTCTGTTAGTAAATCCCGAACTCTTTGCAGCTTCATTGAATTTCTTAAAAGACCTCCATGGATGTTGTTCGAATACTTCTTTCAAGCTCATTTATGTAAAGTTAAAGATTTTAACCAACTCGTATCCAAGCGTGCATTGTTATATAAGGAGGCATATAATCTTTTCCATTACCTGCTGGGTCTGTAATACCAGCTACAACATGTGTATGATTTCCTGCAGTTCCACAGAAAATACCTGTGCTAACATCTTTGGGGTCATCTGAGATATCATATCTATTCATTCCCTGTCTATTCGAACCCGCTGCAAGATTTATATAACCTCTTTTTGTTATTGAATGTGAATGGTTTCCTTCCACAGATGTTCTTCCACTGAACCTATGCATATGTGAAGGAAGGTTTTCAATACCTATTTTCTTTGAACCTCCCATCTTCATTGACTGCGTATTAGTGTAGAATGGAAAACTGTCAACTATTTCATACCATCTACCACCAAATAAAGTGTTTGGATTTATTGGATTCATAGACGTATAAACAGCTCCTATAGGATATATTAAATCATATATGCTCATAACTCTATAAACATATTCTAAAGAACTTATGTCATTAAATACCATTTGGAATGTATCTCCCGGATGAAATGTTGCATTTGTTCCACTTTTATAATGTAATGTTAGTTCAATAGAATTATCCAAGAAAAATTCAAAAGTATCTGGTTGAAGACCTCTAACAAATTCAAATGGAGTTGCTGGTTCACCATTTATAATTTCTGTTGTAAATGTCATTGTATCTGGTTTCGAAAATTTCTTTGTTAGTTCTGTATCCACATAAGTTTTGTCGGCTTTACTGTCTAACATTGCTGGTAGTTCATATGCTTCAAAGTTTCTGGCATGACCTTCGATATTCCTGCAACTCTTATCTAAATTGTTAAGAGTATCTTTTACGCTTGTACTCGGATTCTCTAAAGGTGCACTTGAACCCAAATCATAGTTCAATATTATGTCGTCTGCTCTAACAGTAGTGAAGGATTTATGTGTATGATTTTTGTCGGCTTTACTGTCTAAAGAAGTTTGAAGTTCATTTATATCGGAGATATTGTGTTTATGAGATTTCAAAACTTTGTTCGTTGCGTCAAGTTCTGTTTTGTCAGCTTTACTTTTAATAGCATCTTCAAAAGTTATTTTTGACTTAACTCTCAAAGTAAATCTTGGTTCAACTAATACACCGTTAACAAAGAAGTATGAAGCATAAATTTCAGCGTTATAACCAAATGATTGTGGTGCTATACCTGTGTCATACTGTACAGTACAGTGTATGTCATAACCTTTAGCACGAATGAATTTATATCTTCTTTCATTAACATTTTTCGTATTCACTTTTTCACCCTGTGTTAAATATCCATGATAGTCCGTTATAATCTGTTCATCAGAACTTATATAATGAACATGGTTTTTGTCTGCTTTATTGTCTAAAGAAGTTTGAAGTTCATTTATATCGGAGATATTGTGTTTATGAGATTTCAAAACTTTGTTCGTTGCGTCAAGTTCATTTTTGTCCGCTTTACTATTTAATGTAGCTTGAAGTTCATTTATATCGGAGATATTGTGTTTATGTTCTTTATCTGCTTTTTCGGCTAATTTCTCTTCTATCTCATTTATTTCAAGTTCATGCCTACCACCACCTCCCGAAGAAGTATTTTTCTTCAGCTCTTGAAGAACGTCCACTTCGCCATCTTTGGTGTCAATAATGAGACTTTGAGTTAAAACCTTTCCTGTCTTAATGGATGTTTGTAAAACTTCTTCTTCACCGTGTTCGGGGTCATGGTCGTCATCATATCTTGTGAAATCAGAGATGTTGTCATACATTAAGCATATCTGTCTCAAAAGTTCTGCTATTTGAATTGGAACGAAAGATATACAGAACTTTCATCATCTCCTAAAGTCAAGTCTGCTTTCTTAAGTATTTCTTGAATGTATGCAATGAGAACAGAGTACCTTGGAAAATATTCGAACAATATTTCATTAGCTGTTGGTTTTGGTGGTTCTTCTGGAGTTTCTGTTGTTTCAGTTCCTTCTGTAGGTTCTGTTGGAGTTTCTGCATCTCTTGACTTCAATGCTCTTGCTCTCAAAGACCTAAATGTTAGAGCACCGGGTTTTACAAAGGACTTTATAAATGCTTTAATAGTTCCTGGTAAGTTATTGTTAGCATTAAGTAAGTTCCTTATGCTTCCATCATGTACGTCCATAGCACTATGTAAAAAATCTATACTTTTCTTGTAGTCAGCAATAGACTGACTGTGATTTTTTAAAGATTTGTCAATACCTTTAAGCCAATCTTCATGCATGTCTGATACTGAGCCAAGAATATCATTTGCTTCCTTTAGTGTATTTTGTGCTTTTCGTAAAGTATCCAATCCCGTACGTGCATTGTTTGCTATACGTCTTACAGTATCTATTTGACTCCTTGTTTCTTGCATCCAACCAGATAAAGTTTTAATAGTATCCGAACCATTTGAAATGAAGTTCAAAGCATTTTTGACGTCATCTAAAGCTTCTTCACCAAGTACAGCCCATATCTTTCCGATTTGGTATTGAAGAACTCCATATGAAGCAGCTGTTAAACCAGTATTTATAAGGTCCCATATCCATGATTTAGCAGTTTTTCCATCCTTTCCATCCTTTCCATCCAAACCGTTTTCGCCTTGAGGTCCTTGTATTCCTTGAGGTCCTTGTATTCCTTGAGGTCCTTGTATTCCTTGTGGTCCGGTGTCACCCTTCTCTCCTTTCAGTTCATCTTTATGTTCGTTATAATATTCTAATGTCATAAGGTGTACATCATTACTGCTACCAGCAACTCCTAATATTTGTTTCTCATTCATGACTAAATTCTTTAGGCATTTAATGTTGTCGTCAAATCGAAAGCTCTTTAACAATTCAATGAGAACATTCAGTACTTTCACTAATGAGGCATCTACTGTAGAATTTATATATTGCACCGTTCCATCATTTATGATAGGAACTTTACTTATTGTAATGAATGGGTCATAAGTGTTAAAAGTATCGAAATCAATGACTTTTTTAGTTTTTCCATCGTCAATGACTAAATCATTGCCTTCAATGGTTAAAGTTGAGTTTTCGTTTACTAGTTCATGTGCTCTTCTTGCTTCATTTGTTTCATACGCATATGCAGCAATAGTCATATTTTAATGAGAATAAAATGTTGTTCTATTTGCAAAGTACTGACCCAAACGAATACGGAACAGTAAAGCTACAAACAAACTTAGGTCTTCAGAATGAAGCGCTTGCTTTCAGAGTTGTTGACTTCAATACTATCGCAACTTTTGTCATAACAGATGAAACAGATTTCATGGAGTTTGAAATAGATGGAAAGAAGCATGAAATAAGATTTCACAATAATGTAGAATATAAGATGGAAACATTAGCTGGAGTGTTAAATGCGCTCATAAATACTACAATAAACAAGGAGAACGAAGAAAACTTAATGAATGTTAAACTTATTGCAGGAGTTTTGAAGTTCAGTTATGCGAAGGAGTTTAAGATAACACGAATGAGTCATAGAGTTCAATTGCTTCTGGGAGCATACCATATGACATTTCCTTTGAAAAGTTTTGACAAAACGATTGAGATGAAATCTGTTCCATACGTATGTTATGGCAATTGTTTATACATTGAGTCAAAAATAGCTAATGTCACAGGTATTTCAGGAGTTAATAGTAAAGGTTCAGTAGAATATAAGTCTTTCTGTTATGAAGTAAATTCAATGTTCATTCCAAACGTTCCTGTCATAGCAACTCATTTAGGTAAATGGGTTCGCATTAGTCCTCATAATTTGAAAGACATGCAATTCAGACTAGTTGACTTTCAAGGAGAGCCTGTAGAACTGAAGGCACCAGTGCGAATGACTGTTGAAGTAGACTTTTTAGAAAATATTAAATGCAACAGCTTACAAGAGAACTCAGAGCTAAAAATATAAAGTATGAATGTTATGTATTAGGTCATGAACTTTGGTTGTTGCTGTTTGATGAAACAAATGAGTTAGTTATGTCAGTCAAGAGAACAGAAAAAGGCGTCAAAGGCGCCGAGCGCAAAGCGCTATATTGTGTTAGTGAGAACTGCACCAAGTCAATAAGATTAGGTTTGCATTATGAAGATGAGTTCGATACTGTTGAAGAAGTTTTGGATAGATATTACAAATTGCTAACTTGAAATTTTTTTGACTAACGGCGCAAAGCGCCAAGATGGGCTCAAAGAGCCCTCCTGACTGCTTTAATTTACTAAAACATATTTCAAACATAATTTATATTCTGTTGAAAGTTTTGTATACTCGTTCGAATATTTATACTTAAACTCAACTCCTGGAGTACCTGGTATTTCAATGATGCGGATGTTACCTATTTTCATGAATGGTGGCGTTTGACCACAGCATTCGATTTCAGGGTCGAGATAGTCAATGACACATTGTTTCCCTGTTATTCGTGATATAACATTTTCAAGGTCCTCCTTTGTTAGAATTATTTGGTTCTTGCTTATAAGATTTGTCAAAAGCTTCTTATCGTCTTTGAGTAAGATAGTTTGATATAACTGAAGAAGGTAATGGTCTACGTTATCTGAAGGATTTGTTTGAACATTTGTGTAAGGGTTGTCGTTGGCTTCTCTTGAAAGAATTTGGTCCAGTGGTGGATACTCTAACTTAACATCTGATGTAGCGTTAGCGTTTGAAGCTGAGTTTAAATTCACGGCGCCATGCGCCAAGACCGAAGGTCCCGACTTAAGTTCTGGTTCTTTTTCTTTCAAACACTCCGAACTATAGTTCTTTATGACAATATTGTTTGTCGTTCGTGAGTCAACATTTGATGTTGGTTCAATTGGAACATTAACGGCACCAGCTAAGATGGATTTGCTTCTCATTTCATATAGAATAAAAACCTTTTATATGTATGAAATGAACAATATACTCGACAAGGGTTTGAATGTAAAGCTAACGAATGAAAATATTGTTGAATTCACTGAGACAGGTGCTGTGTATAAAGATGTAGAACTACTGAACAAAAGAGCTAAGGGAAGAAGCAGGAACATGAACAAAGGGTGGAAGCCTATAAAAATTTATGTCAATGATGGCTCAGGAGGTTCAAACATAAAGTATGCAGAAAGTTATAGAGTTTATGCGCTAAAAGGTGAAAAGCCTTCATTTAAGAACAGCTATTCTAACGCATATCCTCAAAAGTTAACGGATGGGGAAGTGGATGATATGAATGACAGCAAAAATATTAACAGAAATGGCGACAGAGATGCATGGAATTTGTTTACCATCAGTCAATTGAAGGTTAAACTTTAAAACAATGTTGGTCGTTCCCATGGAATATTTTTGACTTTAATGGTATTAGTCATGATATGAATCTCAAGGTATGAACGAGGAGAGATGAGAGACTTATATGCTTCCCAAATTTCTTCAAAAGGTAATGTTATACCTGACTGTTTCCAAATGAGTTCAATATCATAGCGTGAGAAACCTTGAAAGATAACGAAGTCAGTTATGAGACGTTTTATGTTTAAAGCTAAAAACCTCCATGTTTGCATAAGTATTGCTACAGTTAAGTGGTAATGTCTGACTTTAGTAATGATGTTAGCTAATGGTGAGTCAGGCTTTGACACTAAACCTTTTCCGGCGAAGTCGTCGCAAACGAGCAGAGTGTTTGAAGGATACTTTTTGAAGGGGTATTTTGAAAGTTTTGACAGAATGTAGTTTGTAAGTCGTTTCATATCGTAAACTCCTGAGTATTGACGTAAGTGGTGTTTGTCAATAATTCTTTCCATCTCTTCTGAAGTCTTTTGCATTCCTGACTGTATAAATTCAACGATGGCATAATATTTCCTCTTACGTCGAATGTAACGTTGAAGAAATTCAATGAGTTCGCTATCTGGAACTTTAACGACAGAGGCTTGAACTTTTGACATAAATGTTTTCGCTGTTGAGTCCATAGAGTCTGAAGTTGCTGATATAATGATTTGGTCATAATATGAATCTTGACCTAAACGCTCTGTTATGAGTATATGACGAATGAGGTTAAATGTCTTACCTGACCCCATCTTTCCACAATAGAAATAAACACCATTTGAACAGAACTCATAGTCCTTACTGAAAGGAAGAATGAGAGAAGAGTTAAGTTTGTCTGTAGTTTCATTCATGTCTTCATCTACGTCATGTATTAAATGCTTCATTTTATCTCCATTAAAAATGCAAGTCAGAAATATTCAGAACATAGCACCGAGTCTAACTGACAAGAGTATAAAGATATACTATGAACACGTTATGATGAAACCAACCAAAATTCAAGAAAGTCAGTATACTTATGAATATCCAAGACACTGGGTAGAGTATGTAGGAGGTGAGAAAGCTATTGAAATAAGACAAGTTAGAAGTATTCCAGCAGGAAGGACAATATTATTGAAGAACTTTAATGTTTTGAGGTATAATGATGAGACAAAGAAGCAAGATAGTTTTCCTATTGCTGTGTATGTGAACCTAGACACAGGAGATGACATGAAAGTTTTTAACACAAAGCTTCAAACGGTAGTGAGAGAACAACTGACTGCGGAAGGACACCCATTACCTTCAGAAGTTACCATAGCGTATAATTTTGAAACAAATGCAATAGATTTTAAAGTCGTCTCTGCAAAGAAGTCAGGTTTTACATTTAATGAAGCAGATGTATATTCGAATGAAAACTTCAAAGCTATTGCATGGTTAGATAATGACGATTGCTTTAAGAAAATATTTAAATTCAGTGACTCAACGATGTCAATAGATGACCTTCGTGGAATGTTACCATCGACGTTTACAGTAGAAGGTTCAGCAGGATTGCTTACAAGATTGTCAATTGGTGGTATTTGGTCTCGTGAGAACATTGTTATAAAATCCAGTATAAGTGAATTTGCTGAAGAATCTATATTATGTCTTTCAAACTATATGTATTCGCCGCCGAAGCATTATAGTATAACAAACTTTGTCAGTAAGTTTAATATAAGACTTGTTGAACCTTCTTCAATGAAAGATGTTGTGCTACCCAAAGACGGAAAGGATGGACTCATTATTGAGATGATTTTAATAGCATATTAAATGAGCTTGTTTTTAAAGGTCATTCATGATGAAATAACTGTTGTAGAAGATGTTAGCAATTGTTCAGACATTTTGAAGCGTATAGATGAGATAAGAAAGAAGTTTATGAATGAGAATGTTTATGTTTCATTGACTTTCTCCAGTAAAGAGAACTTTTATGAGATAATATTGAAGAGAGATGATTTTAATATGGTGTAAATGGTAGCTTGGGCAGCTTTAGGCGCAATGGGAACAAAAGCATTAGCATTTGGAGCAAAAGCACTTGGGGCTTATGACGCAGTAAATAAAATGAGTGGAGGAAGAGTTTCGAAGACATTAGATGCAAATAAAGGAAAGATTGGAGGCTGGGTTGCAAAGAAGTTAAGATTAAATAAAATAGGGCTCATAAATAAAGCATCCAATTTGGTTGCGACTGAGTCAGAAAATGCTTTAGGAAAGGACGATGAGTTTGCAAAACATGCAAAAGACTTTAATGACCAGATGAAAGGTGAAACAATGCATTTAAATAGAGTCGATGGAACTAAAGAAAATGTTTCTTCTCCACCAGTAGTTCTTCCGTATGGTCCCTATGGAATGTATGGAAACCCTTACGAAAGACCATTTGACCCATTGACTGGTGGAAGTAACTGGTATCATTACGGACGAAGAAGAAAGACAGTTAAGCTGGAGACAGACGTGAAGAAAGCAACTAAAAAGAAACCAAGGAAGAGAGTTATAAAGTAATGAATTCAAGAGACCCAAAGGGTCAGAGCCGCTTTGCGGCTAGGGTGAAAAACCGGGTGAAAAAAGAGGTGAGATTTCACCACTTCACCTAAATTTATTTTTGTGCTATGTTTTCATACGTGTGAGGGTGGTGATATCATTAATTTTTAAGTTTATTTTTTATTTTATTTTTATTTTATTTTTATATAAATGACGAAAAAACTATGAGATAACAAACTACAACGGTCATGAGTTCAAGAATTTGTTCTTCGTTCCTCGTGAAAGTACATTCTATCAGATACGAGGGAGAAAGGGTAAAGTTAGTTTGAGCATTTATGAAGGAATGAAGAATGGAAAGTTTATACAAGCATACGATACAAACGGTAAACGTGTTTCATTAGCTTTGTCAAAACTTACTAACATTTATTTTGACAGTGACTTTGACCTATATGAAGAAGAAAGTGAGTCAGAAGATTATGAGCTGTTATGTGAAGCACAGCAATGGGAGGAGTTGCAATACTTTTGTAAGTGAGAACGTTTTTTTTTACATTAGTGAAGTCGTTTGTGAAAACGTTAGTGAGGTGAAGTGGTTGGTGGTTTTGTAAATATTTAAGGTTAAGTTAGTGTTGTCGTTTGTGTTGTAAAATATACGTTAACGGTTTTGAAAGTGTCAAATTCACAAGTATTGCGTATGGAGGAACGCAGTGCCGCCGTACACAAGATATGTACTAACTTAATATCTTGTCAATGACATTATATGAAACACCACAGCAACTAATGTCGGGTTCTATTTCTTTGATGTTTATATCGTCTGCCTCTGTCAAAAGTTTCAATAGTTCTTTCAAAACTTCATGAGGTGCAATGACATATGAGTTCACTTTTACAGGGTTGTGCTCGACCAAGTTTAACATTATACTAAAGCTTGACAAATCTTCTCCTGAGTTTGAAGTTTGTCTTTCAGTTGTTTGGTAGTCGTTTCGAATATCTGCAACAGAACTTAAGTCTCTGCTAACTTCAGGATATGTTGGTTGTTCTTTTACAGGAACTATTGTTATACCATCTTCGTCTTCGTATGGTTTCCCCACTTCAACATCTCTTTCTTTGACATTGACAACAACACTTTGACTGTTTGTTTGAGTTGGTGAATTTAACTTCACATCTGCCACCGCCATTAAACCTTTTGAAACACTTACGCTTCTATTTTTCGGAAATGACATTTTACTTAGAATAAAAAGATGGACGTATTGAGTATCTCTTCGAATTGAAGCAAACAAAGTTTACACACAAACAATACAAATACATTGACAGAATAGTTCTTTATACAAACAATGGAAAATGTTATAGAATAGCAGTCTTTGCTGAACCTAAATATTTTCATAAAGCAAAGAAAGTTGGTATAACCGAATGGTGAAAGTTCTTGACGTTGCACAAAAATATAACTTCAAAACTGACGATATTTCTAAAGGAAAGTTTATAATTACAATTTATGTCAAAACTGGCGTACTGTCAATATTTGACGGAGAGAAGTCAGTTCAAGAACAACTTACTGACCTGCTGCCAAAATCTGCTCGATGGAAGCTGTCGTTATGCCAATCTGAGGAGCCCCAGCAGGTTTCATCGAACGAATCTTCAAAAGAGCATCTTCCGTGAAAAGTGCTATTGGTTTTGTAAACTTCTTTGCTCTCAATTCATCTGGACCGTCTCTGTCACCAGTATATTGTATTTGTACTGTACCAACAGTTGAAATACCACCCATAAAGTCTTCTGAGTCAGCAAATGGAATGCCAAGCCAAAAGTTTGAACGGTCTCCATTTGTATATTGAGTTTTTTGACCTCCTGTATGAGTCCATACTTTCACATATGGCATAATAGAACTTTGCATTTCAGGGTTAATGGTTGTTGTGAAGTTGTTGTTAAAGTTCATAGCATCTAATGTCAAGTTGTATGACCTCATATCCTCAACTGTAGAATATTCTTCTCTTGGATAATATTTGCCATCTATGTTTATATGATATTTAATACCAGGGTTGTAGAAACAAGAATAGTCATTTATAGTTCGTCTGAACAGTACAAACATAGTATCTGCATGTTTCATTGCAGTTGTTAAAGCAATATCTGTTCTTGCACCTGGGTCAGCACTTTGGTTTCCAACTTCACCTGCAAAGTCTTTGACAGATATTTGGTGTATAGGGAACATAAGTGGAACTGCAATATATTTGGCAGCTAAAGCATTTGAAATATCTGGGTCCAACATATAGACTGCAAGTCTGCTTTCTATTCTCTTGCATTCAAACTTTTCGCATGTGAACTTAACTGGGTCCCAAGCAGTTCCAGCAGCATTGAAATAATAGTTTACTTCAGTGTTGAGGTTTGAGAAACCAAAGTCTAAGTCAACTTTGTCTTTGCAAAAGTCGGCGAATGACGTTTGATTTGTTCCCTTTACGTCTGTAATAGTGAATGGGTCTTGTGTTGGTGCAATGACTAAGTTATTTTTGCTTGGAGTAAGTTCAATAGAAATTTTTCCTGCCCAGTTTGGCAAGTATCTTAAAAACCTGAAGATGAGGAAAGATGACAAAGGAACTCTAAGTTTCAGTTTTACTTTGGTTACTGCTGCTGCAGTTTGTTCAGAAAGGTTAACATAAACTCCTGGAACGTTAGGGTCAAGTCTTCTTATTTTCTCAATAGTTGCATACTGGTCTGTTTGTTCTCTAGCTTGTGGTTGTACTGAGTTTCTCAAAGCGAACCATTCATAGTTTGCCCATGTTACTGTTTGAACTAAGTCAGAGTTAGAATATATCTTATATCCCATGAAAACTTCTGGAGCATATTGGTATCCGACATAGAAAATTCCATTGCAACCTTTCTTGTCAGACAACTTGGCAGAAGGTTTTATTTCAATGTCTTGTTCCACGTATAAGAATGAGTTGTCAATAGAAATAATATGAAACCTGTCGCAAGCAATATCTACTGTTGTTGAAGAACCTTCTCCAAACTCACCTACGTTTCCATAAGAAACAGCAGTTGTATATTCGTAAGTTCCAGGAACTATTTCTGACCTTCTAATGGCATTGTCGCATTCGTTATACCATTCAGAAACATTTCCGTTCATGGCATCCAAAACTGTTGGCGTAATATTCTGAGCGGCGTACATTTCATATGGTAAAAATATAGAATAGTTGGATTTATGTGTCATAATAGAACCCACTCGTACCAAGCTTTACTTTCTTCCTGACTGAGTTTTGTTGCATCTTTGCCTCATGTTCACCTAGTATGTTGTAAATTTCCCATGTCCTTTTTGCCTTTGGGCTCTGGTCGCCCATCTCAGGTAACCTATATCCTAGAAAGATTTGTCATAGTTTGTATTTGAGTCTTCGCGTATTGTTTGCATGACTCTTTCCTGAGTTTCCGGTTCAAGCTCTTCAAACAGAGCTTGTCCATATGGAATAAGCTCGTTTCCAAATATATGTTTTTGTAGCCATTCTGGTTTTCTTTCCATGTAACCAATAATATCTTTTGTGAATGGGAAAGCTTTTACCCAATTTCCAGTCTTGCGTCATTTATTTCTGTAGTTGGTTTTATTTTGTCAAGGAACATGTTTTTCAATACTAACATTTCATTTGGTACTGTCCATTTGAGTTTTCTTAAATATTCATCCCTTCTCGATTCATTGTTTGCAAAGTAAGTTTTTATGACATTTTGCAAACTTTCGTTTGCAAGGTCATGTACAATAGGTTCTCTTCCTTCTCTCTCCCTAACTTCTTTCTAAACTCTTCACCAAATATACCATCTCTATGGTTCTGTGTAGTTCTTTGAGATAAATGTTTTAGAACGTCAGGTGTTATATTTCCATCAGCCATGTTCATTTCATACTGGTCCAAAATATCTGCATCTTTCATATCTTTCAATGGCATTAAAGCCGCGCTGAAAATACCAGCTATATCTGGTTCACCATTCGCTTCCATTGCGTCTACAACTTCTTGGAATTGTGGTTGTAAGTTTATGAACCACCTATCCGGATTAGCTTTATGACCCCATCTCATTGTAGTTCCATAGTCTGCAGAAACAAAAGTAGGTTTGTTTCCATATTTGTTAGGTTCTGAATGAACTTTAAACAATGTTTCATTTCTATATGTTTTGTTGAAATTTAACCTTTTATTTTCACCGAGTTCATCCAAAGATTGAACGTTATATGCTCGTAAGTAAAAAGGATTGTTGTATTTGTGTACATTTCTTTCAGTCTTCCATTCTTTGCTGAATATTTTCATCTGATGTTGGAGTCTTTTGTATGTCGGCGAACATTTTTCGATATTCTTCTACTATGTCAGCCGAATTTTTCTTAGACTCTTGGAAAGATTCCATATTCTCCGCATACTCTTGTTGAGGGTCAAGATTTTTCGGCTGTTCCAAATCTTCATCTAGTTCTGTGAAGTTAGTTTCCAAAGGAGGGACTTGTTCGTTTCCTTCAGGCTCTTCTAGCTGTTGTTGCTGAACTATTTCTTCCATGTCTGGTTGTATCTGAACTTCTTCCTGTGGAGTTTCTTGTACCTCATCTGCTGGCATTTCATATATTCCGAGACCGTTTTTAACAAGTTCCCTATTTAAGTCATCCGCATTCATAACCCTTTCTTCTTTCGTTCCGTCTCTATTTTTTACGCGTTTCATGAAGATAGTTGAATCATCATTTAGCTCTGACACCAAATATCTCGGAGTAAATTCATCCATGTCATTTGGATGATATGCTATTAAATCATATCACTTAGCGAGCTTGTATTTTCCAGGTTTGAAATTATATCCCATTTGGTGCTGAACCATAAAGCTAAATAGGTTCGGGTCAGTATTTCCTTCCTTGAACTTTCTAATAGCTTCTTTATATCTGTCACTAAAGTCAAGAGTATCTGGGTAATCATAACCTTCCTTAAGCATTTTAAGAATTCTTGGTTTCCTTGTTCTCTACTTCTTTTATGTCCTTGCTCTGTTTGTGCTTTGTTGTTGTGCAGGGTTTTGAACTGTTGGTTTGCTGTGCTGGTTTTGGTTGTGGTGCTGGATTTTGAACTGTTGGTTGCTGTGCTGGATTTTGAACTGTTGGTTGTTGTTGTGGTGCTGGATTTTGAACTGTTGGTTGCTGTGCTGGTTGTTGTTTTGGTGCATGCTTGTGTCTGTGTCCATGTGACGATGTAAATGTTTTAGGTAGTCCTGGTGCAGGTGCTTCTCTTGGAGGGTTTGGTGGTATATAAGTTCCACTAGCTAGTATATAAGTTCCACCAGCTGGTATATAAGTTCCACCAGCTGGCACATATGTTCCATCTGCAGCATAATGTCCTACCTGACTTTTCGTTTTTAAGAAAGCATTTACTAGGTCTGTTTTGGTCTGTTGTAACTCTTTTTCTTGACTTTCCACAACAGTTGCTCTAACGGCGTCATAGGCACTTTGAACTGCCTGTCTCGTTGCTGCATCTGTTATTTTCGTCATATTTTGTGCTACTTCTCTTAACTCTTTGTCGAAACCTTCAGACTTCAGTTTCTTTCCAGATGAGAAGTCGTTCACTAGTTTCACCTTACTATGAAGAGCTTCGAAGGCGTTCTTAAAGTCAGCATTCATTAAAGCTTCATTTGAACTGTCTTCATCCGCTTGTATTTTTGTCCTTATTGACCCTATAAGTTGGGCTGCTTTAGCGTTGGCTTGGGCATCTAACCAGTCATTATTAGCTTTTATATATTCTGCGCTTTTCATTGCCTTTTGCATGGCTGCGTCGTTATTTTTACTTTCTTGTGCTAAGTTTTCATACTGTACGGTTTGGTTTTGCAACTGTAAAAGTTTTTCTGCCTTTACATTTGCTTCAACTTCTTTTTTATACTCATCGCTATCCATATATGTCTTCAGGGCTTTTTGTTTTATCTCTTCATCTTTCAGTACTTTATATTGAGTAGTATGGTTTTTCAAATTTATAACATCTTGTTCCATTTTTGCTACTTCTGCTGCTTTTTCTGACACTTTTTTCGCATATTCCTCTGTACTTAGTTCTTTCAGTTGTTCTTCTTTCTTCTTTTTCTCTACGTTTAACTCATTGAGTTTCTTTGTGTGTCTGTCATATTCTAGTTTCTTTTCGTTTTCACTTATTTGTTTCTGTATGTCTATGTTTGACTTTTTGACATCTGTTATTTGATTTTTGAGTGAACTCAAATTCATTTGACTTTGAGGGTTATAAGCTGTTCCGTCTGCAGCTCCACCATAGCCTGCCATTTTCGCTAAAAGTGCCGCTCTTAAACCTCCACTCTGTGCACCAAAACTCGGTTTAAAAGCATAGGGTTGCTTGACATTTGTTGCAACATAGTGGGGTCATTCATCATTTGTTGTTGCAACTGTTGTTGTGGTGTCAGTTTTACTATTGGATGTTTCAATGCTCCCTTCCTCTTACGTATATTCTTACGTAGCTTACGTGGCATTTTAAGTGAAGTTAAAAAGCGGTTTTTGACAGATGTTTATATGACACTTTTTGTTCAGCACAAAAAACTACTCGGTCAAAGTGTTGTCAGTTTTGTAAAATAACCGTCCTATCTCATTCTATAAGGGGAAAAGGCTTCTCAAAGTATACTTCCTTGGAACGCCCGTAACTTTTCCTGTAGCGACGATAGACCCTTACTTGTCCGGACAAAGTTATACTATTTTGAGTGCTCTACAAAAAAGTCAAAGCGACGACTCTCAAAAACCGTTGTGTAAAAAGTTTTACCGTTGGACAAAAAAGTATATATAGAAAACAAAAAACGTTTATAGTTCATTCAATATTTGAGATGGAACGGTTTGCCAACGGTAACTATTAAATAAAATAAAAAAATAGAGGGGGTCTCCGTTGACGAAAACGGTTTATTTTAAACTTTTCTATGAGTGGTCCGAAAAAAAACAGTTCATTTTTCATAATGGAAGGAAGAAAAAGTGTCGCAAACAATTCGTCGACTACCTCTGCAGTTAAAGTTCCTACAACTTATGTCTCACCATTCTCAAAACCCTTACGACCTCCTATAATACCAAAGCAACTTCCTCATACAATTGCAAACAAATTGTTGGACAATTCAAGACAATCTACTCAAGAAAATACCATACAAACAAACGAAACAACAGATACAGTTGTACCAGACACAACAGGACAAGTTTTACAGTCTTCTCCAATTGCAAACCAATTGTCCAACAATTCAAGACAATCTACTCAAGAAAATACCATACAAACAAACGAAACAACAGAGGAACAACCAAGCGCGTCATCGATGACGACAAGGTCCCAGATGAGATACCTCGCGTTCGCGAAGCAATTTCAATCAGGAGATACAGAAAATACAGAAGAAAACACTACCATATCTGAACGTGTTCGCAGGCAATATGCTAAAAAAAGACTTCAACTCCTTGAAAAACTCAAAAACCAATGGGGAATTCAAGACGACACCGATTATTCGGAAGTGTTTCAGTCTGTTATGGATAGTTTGCAACCAGTTGAAAATGAAGTTAAAGACCCAGGTGTTCTCGTGGACTTGTTTGTTCAATACTTGCCTGTTACAGCAAACCTAATTGCACTACAAGCCATCGACCAATTTATTAGACTTTTCCCCAAAAATATGCAAACTTATTTGCAAAATGTGAAAATTGCTGAGTATGTCAGCATATATCCCAATACCTACAACTATCTCGAAGAATTGGATGAGTATGGGCAAAGGTCCTTTTACGTATACTTTTTTACCAATCCAGGACAGTCAAAACGGTTATATTGTATACAACCTTTACCAGAATTTCAAGACAATTTCCATGTCATATCCACTATAGCGTTAGATACACCAGAAAGAGTTCCCTACGGTAGCAAAGTTAGTATTTCAAGCTTCCCGAAAGCTACCAAAGGACATCCTATAAAATTGGCAGAATTCACTCATTCAAATTGCCAATTCAAACAGGATGTTGAGTTTGTATTCTTACACGATACCACATTCATAATACAGACACCTCCAGATGGACTCTACAAAGTATTTATAGCTGGACACGTAGCACCAGATGACGAAGAAGAAGTCGAGGAAATTATATCTTCGGATAATGAAGAGGAACAAACATTTGAAGATGTTAAAGACTCAGATTATACTGAGTAAAAAACTATTTAAGATTAAAAAATTTTATTTTATTTAAATATCTTTCTTTTTCATCGGAGTCTTGGGGTCAGTCCTCCTCTTGGGTCTTGGGCAAAATTTCTTAGGGCTAGAAGGGGCGCAGCCCCTGGAAGCCCCACTACCTTTTTTTTTTTTTTTTTCAATGATTAATATGAAAAGAAAGAGAATTCTATAAAACAATGATTAATATGAAAAGAAAGAGAAAGTAATAAAACAATGATTAATATGAAAAGAAAGAGAATTCTATAAAACAATGATTAATATGAAAAGAACGAGAATAAGTTTCATGTTAACATCTGCACCATGATCAACTAGGAATTGGACAATTTCTATTGAATTCGCTTTGATGGCAATACTAAGAGGGCATTCATTAATATCGAGAGAAATTCATAAAACAATGATAAATGTGAAAAGAAAGAGAATTAGATAAAACAATGATTAATATGAAAGAAAGAGAAAGAAGTAATAAAACAGTGATAAATATGAAAAGAAATATTATTATATAAAACAATGATTAATATGAAAAGAAAGAGAATTCTATAAAACAATGATTAATATGAAAAGAAAGAGAATTCTATAAAACAATGATTAATATGAAAAGAAAGAGAATTAGATAAAACAATGATTAATATGAAAAGAAAGAGAAAGTAATAAAACAATGATGAATATGAAAAGAAAGAGAATAAGTTTCATGTTAACATCTGCACCATGATCAACTAGGAATTGGACAATTTCTATTGAATTCGCTTTGATGGCAATACTAAGAGGGCATTCATTAATATCGAGAGAAATTCATAAAACAATGATTAATATGAAAAGAAAGAGAATTCTATAAAACAATGATTAATATGAAAAGAAAGAGAATTCTATAAAACAATGATTAATATGAAAAGAAAGAGAATTAGATAAAACAATGATTAATATGAAAAGAAAGAGAATTCTATAAAACAATGATTAATATGAAAAGAAAGAGAATTCTATAAAACAATGATAAATGTGAAAAGAAAGAGAATTAGATAAAACAATGATTAATATGAAAAGAAAGAGAATTCTATAAAACAATGATTAATATGAAAAGAAAGAGAAAGTAATAAAACAATGATTAATATGAAAAGAAAGAGAATAAGTTTCATGTTAACATCTGCACCATGATCAACTAGGAATTGGACAATTTCTATTGAATTCGCTTTGATGGCAATACTAAGAGGGCATTCATTAATATCGAGAGAAATTCATAAAACAATGATTAATATGAAAAGAAAGAGAATTCTATAAAACAATGATTAATATGAAAAGAAAGAGAATTCTATAAAACAATGATTAATATGAAAAGAAATATTATTATATAAAACAATGATTAATATGAAAAGAAAGAGAAAGTAATAAAACAATGATTAATATGAAAAGAAAGAGAAATTCATAAAACAATGATTAATATGAAAAGAAATATTATTATATAAAACAATGATTAATATGAAAAGAAAGAGAAAGTAATAAAACAATGATTAATATGAAAAGAAAGAGAATTAGATAAAACAATGATTAATATGAAAAGAAAGAGAATTCTATAAAACAATGATTAATATGAAAAGAAAGAGAAATTCATAAAACAATGATTAATATGAAAAGAAATATTATTATATAAAACAATGATTAATATGAAAAGAAAGAGAAAGTAATAAAACAATGATTAATATGAAAAGAAAGAGAATTAGATAAAACAATGATTAATATGAAAAGAAAGAGAAAGTAATAAAACAATGATTAATATGAAAAGAAAGAGAATTCTATAAAACAATGATTAATATGAAAACAAAGAGAAAGTAATAAAACAATGATTAATATGAAAAGAAAGAGAAAGTAATAAAACAATGATTAATATGAAAAGAAATATTATTATATAAAACAATGATTAATATGAAAAGAAAGAGAAAGTAATAAAACAATGATTAATATGAAAAGAAAGAGAAAGTAATAAAACAATGATTAATATGAAAAGAAAGAGAAAGTAATAAAACAATGATTAATATGAAAAGAAATATTATTATATAAAACAATGATTAATATGAAAAGAAAGAGAAAGTAATAAAACAATGATTAATATGAAAAGAAAGAGAATTCTATAAAACAATGATTAATATGAAAAGAAAGAGAAAGTAATAAAACAATGATTAATATGAAAAGAAAGAGAATTCTATAAAACAATGATTAATATGAAAAGAAAGAGAATTAGATAAAACAATGATTAATATGAAAAGAAAGAGAATTAGATAAAACAATGATTAATATGAAAAGAAAGAGAAATTCATAAAACAATGATTAATATGAAAAGAAAGAGAATTCTATAAAACAATGATTAATATGAAAAGAAATATTATTATATAAAACAATGATTAATATGAAAAGAAATATTATTATATAAAACAATGATTAATATGAAAAGAAATATTATTATATAAAACAATGATTAATATGAAAAGAAAGAGAATTCTAGAAAACAATGATTAATATGAAAAGAAATATTATTATATAAAACAATGATTAATATGAAAAGAAAGAGAAAGTAATAAAACAATGATTAATATGAAAAGAAAGAGAAAGTAATAAAACAATGATTAATATGAAAGAGAAGAGAATTCTATAAAAAATGATTATATAAAAGAAAGGAATTCTATAAAGATTAATATGAAAGAAGAAAAGTAATAAAACAATGATTAATATGAAAAGAAAGAGAATGTTATAAAACAATGATTAATATGAAAAGAAAGAGAAAGTAATAAAATAGTGATAAATATGAAAAGAAATATTATTATATAAAACAATGATTAATATGAAAAGAAAGAGAATTCCATAAAACAATGATGAATATGAAAAGAAAGAGAATAAGTTTCATGTTAACATCTGCACCATGATCAACTAGGAATTGGACAATTTCTATTGAATTCGCTTTGATGGCAATACTAAGAGGGCATTCATTAATATCGAGAGAAATTCATAAAACAATGATAAATGTGAAAAGAAAGAGAATTAGATAAAACAATGATT